TAGCTGATTAAAGAGCCTCATTCTTACGGGGCTGCCATACAAGTGATTCTCCCTGAGGAAAAATGTAGCCAAAGAAGGTAAATATCACAAAATGACTAGTTTAATTTTAATGTCATCTTTGGACATCCCGCCCTGCATCGTCACATCAACTACATCTGGCTCAAACAATCATGACTCAGTATCCCAGAAGAGCTTCCGACAGAGAAGGAAGTTGTTATAGTGTCTAGTTATTGAGATGCATTCTGACACATGTTCAAAAACCTGGAATAACAAAGAGTAGAACTACACAAACCCAAGGTGCAAAGTTGTGAAATAATCAAGCTGTTATCTTTTTTATTTCTCTTGGTTTTACTCTGTACTTTAACCTGGAGTGGCATTATGTTGGTAGTCCACAGGTGCTGTGCAGAGCTTTGTAGACATGTCTACATAATGCAGTGGTCAGCTAGGGTAGTGAATAGAAAAGAATATGTGGAAGAAATTATAACATGCTACTTTTTATTGTGCTTTAGTTGGTCCTGGATCAAAGTAGAAACAAGCATGCATGTATGTGCAACCTTTACATTTTTAATCTTTATATTTCAAGATTTTTAAAGGATTTTTTTTGGTTGTTTCAAAATGCCTGAGATTACTATTGATTGGATGAACATGTAGAAACATGTAAAAGCCCATTGACACAGGCCTAGGGAATGTTGATGACCCCACTAGGCAAAAATATGTATTCCTCGCTGACTGAATGATTACTGACAGTGCTACACCAACAATCTCTTAGCAATTACTTTTATGACTAGCAGATCACTATGGTTACCTGCAGTTTGCATGTAAGGCTAAGTTGTCTACAAAAACTCACCAACTAGTTGCCAACAGGAAATGAAAGTGAAGCAAAAAACCAGAAACAGAGACAGTTTATCTTTGAAATTAAAGTTGCACCTTCTGAAATGTGCGGGTCAAAAGTAGAGCTAAATGCAATCATAAATACAATCTTTTCCATCTCTCTCTGAGAATTCCTGTAGGACTACAAGAATATATCGGCCAAAGGCTGTATCAACACTGGCAGAGCATTTCAAAAACAAAACGCTTCAGGAAATAAAGACATTATGGTTTCATGGATTATCCTAAGGCGTTGACCTAGCCCCACCCCACAAGTATGATCTAGGTGCCCATTCTCAGAGAAGCACTGCTCATCATTTATAGAGTTATTATCCCACCTCAGTTTAATGACCTATAATCTTATTCATAAAATTGAATTAGACAAAGTTCAGAACATGTTTACAGTGCTGCTGTATTCACTGGACAAAAAACGAAAAAAGTTTGTATGAGATTTTATTAATGTTTTTAATTGTAGTGACTTTTAAAGAATTATGGTCAACATTTAAAGCATCATCAAAGCCAGCAGGCTTGAAGAGAAGCGGTTTGCCTCTTAAAACCACTTATTTCGAAATATTTAGCAAATGCTGCCTCGTTTAACAAATGTCATTAAGCAGATCAAATTTGGTTGTATTGGCCTCTTCCTGAGTCTGTATACCTGTGATGTTACAAAATGCAAAAGACACAACAAACCTTTTCTGGATACTAATCCCAAAACACCAACATGCACACTCTGGTGCAGAAAACAGGTCAGACCACTGGACATGACAGACATGTATACCTTTGCATTAGCATTTAATAGCCTTAAAGCTTCATACAGCAGCCTTTCTAGGCCAAAAACCTCCCATTGGCCATTAATTAACTTGAAGAATGTCAATGAGGATCCTTGTTAAAGGGGCAATAGTTACCTGCGGCTGCTTCTTCACACAGCTTTTTGAATATGGCTGTGCAGAGGGAGCTGCCATCAAGGACATGGAGGTACTCTAAAGAGGGACAGAAGCCCAATATAGACCTGAGGTGTCACCCAACACCCAGGTTCCATGATGACAACATAGAAAAGTCTCAGGGAGGGGAAAAAATGAGTTTGTGCCTCACCTATAATACAAAGGAGATGAGGACAACCTGGCCTGGATACTTTATCCTTTCTGCCCTTTTGGTGTTTTTTGCTTTAAAAACACACACACACACACACACACACACACACACACACACACACACACACACACACACACACACACACATATATATATACATATATATACACAGAAACCATCTAAAAGCATCTACTTGGGATTTTGTCTCGATGCATGCTCAATCATTCAGGAAAGTAAATCCCAAAAGTTGATTCTGTTCATCTGGACGTAGCGTTTTCAGTGGGAGAAACGTTTCGTCACTCATCCAAGTGACTTCTTCGTTCTCAGCTGAATGCAGGTTTCCCCAATCTTATAAACAGTACATTTGCATAATGACTGAAACTAGCACCACCAAGTCATCGGTTCAGGTATGTGATACTTGGGATTTTTGCGAGGCAAACTAAGATCACTGACACTAGGAGAAAGTTTACAGGTTCACAGCTCAAGTCACGCTTGCTTTAGTGTAAGGCCTCAAGGTACAGTAAGAGGCTTTGAAAGAAAGCCTCCACCAAATGGCATACAAGAGTGCCAGGGAGACAGCTTTCAGACTGGTTTTAAAGTCTCACGAAACACAGGCATTAAATGTCCTTGATCCCCACGTCAAACGCTTTGTTAAGACTTAGAAATGAACGTGCTCTGAATGAATATTGAATCAGAGTTTACATGTTAAAGTTGCTGTTTAAATACTAGGCCTTTTAAGGATGAAGGAGTTCAAGCAGTTTGTCCAAATAAATGTTTCATTCCAAACATGAACAATATCTGACTCACAAGGCCTCTAAAACTCTAGACGATGATATCAGTCAAATTCATGAAGAATTCACTGGAACATTTGGGCCCGTTGAGAGTTTGCTGCATGAATAGAGCTGTGCCACACTGGAGGAGGATTAAAGCGCCGTATGGCTCAGCTGGGTTTGATGTTTAACCCAGAGGTTTGTTTAACCTCTCACATTCTCTCTCCCTGGTTAACCGCTAGTTACTCACCTACTGCTACAACATGACCATTGCTGAGAGAGAGCACCTGCTTTAAGCTGCACCCTTGTCTGGTTCTTTTTACGGTTCACTATCAGCCCTGCTCCTCTGAAGCACTGCTAAATTAGTCAGGGCAACGTCACCTCCTCAACAACCCCACCACAGTTACTTCGACACACCATGTTGACTACCACTTAGGTAGTCACGGCTGTTTGATTTAATCAAACCGGGCTATTGTCTCTATGAACAGATATGAGACCGCGGTGGTGACGCGACCTCACCCTGCCTCACAAAAGCTGCCTCTGTGCAGAGACAGCACACAAATGCTGGCTGACAACACAAGGCCGGGGTATGAAAGGTCTCCTCAGTGCGTGGTGACAGTTATTACCCTCTCCACTGAAACCAAATACCTGTGAGCCCAGATAGCATTATCTTATTGTGAGGCACACTGGGGGCCAGCCTGTAATCAGGGCCCAGACCTTCACCAACTCTCCTCCTTAGGTTTAAAGCCATCCCTTCCCTTCTGTTTCCACACGATGGAAAATCTGTCTATTTGATTCTTCCCTGACACCTAGATGATTTATATTTATTAGGAAGTTTAAATTCTCTCAGGACTACATGAAAAAAATCTGTTGAAAATGAACAAGAAAGCTTTTATGCAATAAATTCAGCAGGATTCCAAATGCACAATCCATTCACTGGCAGGCAATGGGTGGGTGAGCATTGCTCAAAATCTCTCAAAATGATCATCTGACATTTCATGGGACCACAGTGTTAGTTACAAAACGAACTAGTACGGAGTACAAAACAGAGGGCAAAAAGCACACAGAAAGATGGGGAGACAGCAAAGTTTTAGAAAAGGAAAGTGCTGGTTAGTCTCATTTGGGAGGTAAGAGGTTTAGCCAAGAGAATCCTGAGCAACGCTAACCCCAGCTTCACAGCAGGCATGATCAGATTAATATTACGTCTACAGCGAGACTGATGCACATTGTTAGGTAACTGCTACATAAAGTACCAAAGTTACATGTGAAATGTAAATACTTAATTCTTTGATAGCACAGCAGCTTTTTGGTTAGTGTTAGCATTAGACAGACAGCATTAGCCTGAACCTAAGGTTTGGTACTCTCTCAGTCAAGTTAAGACATGCAAGTTCTGTCAATCAGACCCTCTAAATTGCTCCCAAATATGCATGTGTTTGTGTGTGTTTACACTCCTGACCTCTCTTGGATCATTTCGGTGAGTTCCACAATTCAGATAACAAGTAGCTGTCAACCTTTTCACCACTTCTTTAGAAATGGTTTTAAAATAGGAATCTACAGCTACTGCAGTTTGTTTGGGGAACTGAATTCCCAGTGGGGCATGCAAGTTTCTACACAAGACACTTTTAAGTTGCATTATGAGAAATAAATGACATCCACCCCAAAACGGATCATGCCTGCCATGTGATCAAACAGGAGACAACTAAAAAAGAAACTGAAGAGTAAAAAATTTAGAACAATAATATGAATGAGAAAGCCGTCAGAACCCTGTTTTCACCAATTACAGGAAGATTTAGGAAAATAAAGAAGTGAAGCTTCCATATTCTGTCTCAAAGCACATCTTTCACAGTATTCCTACCAGTTTAATGATGCCCTATAGAATGTATTAATTTGCAGCTTTAAAAATGTCTTTCAAGGAAACGTGTGTGTTGAGATAAATATGTAAATTCCCATGAGGAGAGCCCAATTACAACTTTAACAGCGGTCATATTAGTTGTTATTGAACACATTATCAGTGAGGCAGACATTGCTAGGTGCATCACAGACTTTGCCCCAGGGAATTGCATCAAAACAAACACGAGAAAGACAACCTGCAAATTCAGTGTGCCGCTTCACACATGGCAATGCTTTTATTTAGTCGTCATCACCGCCTACAACATAAAAGCTGCTTGTTGAATTGCTCTTATAATTCTGTCACATCACACTGAGAATCAACTTTCAAAGCTTTTGTCTCAGCCAACTAAGACGCACATGAAGGCATCAATGGAAACCTTACCCACAGTTTATTTGACGACACCGGCTGTGAGCAGACTCCTTCAGGTGATCATTAAATTAATTTTAAGTCCATCAGAGAGAGCAGGTGTGTTTATACTAGGCAGGTATTCTCAGTAGGCATGCAAGCTCTCACCACACTGATTACACTGAGCTAAATATGGCTTTGTGCTAACACAGACAGTAGGCTGATCAAAGCCCTGATGTCACAGGGCACAGGCGGAGCCAACAGACTACAGGTCAGGTGTATGCCGCAACTGCAGTGGCATAACTGCAAGTGTACTCTTTTTTTTAGCAATGCTGCAGTTTTGAGCATGTGCAGATACACAGGTTCTACTTATGGCAACATGTTTGGGAATTCAGATCACTTAAATGTTGTGATGATTTTTATATATTAATGTAAATCCTGATATTGAACCAGAAAAGAATAGATAGTAAACACACTGTAACTGATTTCATCTGGTGGAAAAGTAATCAGAAGTAATCAATGGCAACAGTGGCTTGGTACATTAAAAGTCCTGCAGTCACATTTATAAATCAAGTGTGCATTCATCAGAAAAATGGTTTATGACTTGATTTATCTGCTAAGTTTGGTTCAAAACAAGTCAATTGGTCCCAGGTTCTCACATATAAGAATATTTAGTTTTTCAATCATTTAAAAAAAATTACAGAAAATTTGGGGGGGAGCTTTCACTGTTGAACAGATTTTACATTTTTACAAAATATAACTATTTAAGTCACAACATATTCAAAAACAAAAATAATCATTAGCTGCAGCCCAATTCAGCTACAGGGTATTTTTATTTTCTAGGTACAGACACCATCTACCCCCACACCGTTCCATCTTTTTCCCCCTCCTTGTATGCTGGCCAGGTTTTTGTGTGAAAACCTCAGTATCATCCAGATCCATCTACAGAAACTATGGACTGTATAAAAGTTGGAGGCAGCCACCGTGACCTCTTCTATTTTTTCTCAGCACCTGAATTTGGTTATTAAACTACAAGAAACCAAACTTAGACAAGAGGGTGGCGTTCCTAGTTATTAGCTAATGCTAGTGAGCTAGGTTAGCAACCTGCATCAATAAACTGTACGATTGAAATGTATCTGCAATTTAGTGCTAACTGACTAAAAAACAAACAAAATAATAGAATTTTCACAAAACATTCATTGTTCAGCTGCTTGAAGGACACATGAACCAGCTCTGATTGGACTGGCCCTAAAACTCAAGTCCACTTACAGAAGGATGACAGGACTGTGCAACAACACTGAATTAGCTAATCTGCCAATTAGCTAGTCAGTCATACGATGGCAACCTGCTTGAGACGAGAATGACTGCATTCTGGTTACGTTCCTATATAAACGCACGTTTGCCAAGCAAATTTATGTTTTCAAACTTATGTAAGTCTATGTAGTACATGTGAATTTCCATGTCAGACTTCCAATTTTCACATATTCATCATTTATCACCATATTACAACCAACAGATTGCATGTAATTGCCAATTTGATCCCTTTCAATTGCAAATCAATAGCTGACTAAGACTTCGTCTTATTGCCACTTTACCTCCATCTAGATGCACCAAAATCCCTTTGAAGACGGCGACTGAGCGTGAGCGGTCGCAGACCTGTTCCCTATTTTCGAATCAAGTACTTCAAAAGAAACAAGATCACAAGTTTATTGAACACGGTCAATAATTTTGGTCGTGCCTCATTCTTCAACTACCGTTTTCTCCAGTGCGACAGTAGCACAAAGGAGACACGACACAGGACTGGTTTAGCAGCGACAGAACTTTCAGAATAAAACACATGTAACACCTTATAAATAAAGAAAACTGCTGCAATTTATCCTTCTACATGTTAACTGTGAGGTAGAAAAAAGCAGTGGACCAACATTCAGAAAGAAGTGTTGTAGACATATATCTCGACTTCTGGTCAGAAGTCAACTAACAGTGATGTTAGTTGGTTTGTATCCTGGCAGGCTTTATAATCTGTTACCTAGTTTAAGTAAATCAAGTAAATTAGCAGAAGTTGAGGATCATCATAACCTTTTGACGATCTCGCACACCTTTGTTTCTCAAGTACGGCTCCCAAACATCACCTGCATACTGAAATCAGATTTCACTATGTAAACACAAGACCTCCTCCAGATGCCTTTAAATCCGCTAGTAAATATTCAAGCTGTTCCTCATCCATCTAGGCAATCCAGTTTTTGTATGTTGTCTTCTGTTTGTTCTGTTTGTCTTCCCGTTGTGTTGGCACAAAAAGGCTTATTTCTGTTCAATAAAGAAATTCCCAGAGTTATATTTATTATTAGGTTTTTAATAAAAGGCTATTCTAACCAATTCCCAAGGTGATTTAAATTATCTGACATCTGTGTCATTAAAAAGAGCTAATCTGATCAAACACAAGTAAATAACAGAGGGTTTAGCAGAATGCATGCAAATGGAGAAACTGCTACGGTTATACTTGTTTACAGGATTATAAAATCCTGCTGCACATGTTGGTAACAGAGAGAGGGTTGTAAATAATTCATCATAAGCAAACATTAAGAAATCAAAGTTAGCATTTTGTCACAAAGCTGGTACTTTTCATGATGTCAAATTTTGATATCAACATAGGCACATTAACAATTAACATCAAAGCGTTCTCAATAATTTCCAGAAGAAAATAAACTCTGCTCCAGGGCACAAAGTTTGGACAAGCTGTGGAAATAGCTGCTGTTTTGGAACAATGAGTGCGGCTGCTGTTTGGCGTGCTGAGAGGATTCCAGCGATTCCAGCCTTAACAAAAACTAAGTCAAGGCTTTATTGTGAATATCAGTGGGGAATTCAGCAGTCGCCCTCCCAGGCATACCAAAACTTATCCCTGAGACAGCACTACATGATGAACTAGTACCTGTAAGACTTCCTCTAATGCTTCCATTCTATAGCAAATACAGCATAATTACAAGGCCCACACTGTGCGTATCCTCCATCATCATTAAATTAGGGGGTTTGTAAAGATGAGAAATTGACGGGGTTCTGCTTGGAGCCAGCAGGATCCTCATGGAAATTTACAGTACTCAAAATGGGAGGCCAACTCCTCTTTCATTTGTCTCTCATAACGGAGCTAAACATATATCGCTAACTAGGACGTCCTAAGAAATAAACCTGAATTTTGCAGGGAAAGCTGCAGAGAGCAGAGTAATAAGCTTTTGTTTAGTGGAAAAGTTGCACAGTCCTCTCCTGATAGCTTGTGTCTTATGGAAAAAAAACATGGAATGATGTGTACTGGTGAAAGTGCTCAGCTGCAGCTCGGTTTACTGTTGCGCTCACTTTCTGTCATGTTTGTTAATACCATCATCTGAAGATGGATATAATACATGGTTTGAGACCATTTTTAAAAGACGACATATCCAGTAAGTGCCACTCTAACAAAATCACGATATTAACATTTCATTCTGGTTTGCAAATCTCAAGTTAGTGGTTTGAATTTCACGCTGATCTTCACATCTAAAACTTCAAAGGAAAGTAAAAAAAAAACATGTTTGTAAAATATTAAATGAGACTTATTATGCTTTCTCTTAAATTTATAGATGCCCATTAAAAATATGCCCAAAGTTTCAAATAATAAAGAAACTGTTTGTCAAAGTAATCTCTGCACCAAAAGCTCAGGCTTCATACTCCACTCAACGTTTCAGATAGTTTTTTTCCCCACTCTTAAAGTTGTATGACAGCAAATATGTATGAGAGCAAATATCCTTACCAGTCATTTCAGTCAAAAAGCTCTGGATGTGTGCACAAAGCTAAACTGACCTGCTGTTCAAAGCTAGTTTAAAGGGAGAGAGGCCGCAATTGCTTACTTCATACAGTGGAAGAACTGAGGCCACACCAAGGCCCAATATTAGTGAAATAAGGATTATTTTAAATGGCAAAACATACAAAGCTTATCTAGGAGTGTCCTCAAAAAGACCAATATGGAAGGTGAAAATGAACAGGTTCCCATTAAATTCACAAACAGTCGTGAAAATTTGGATGATTTTGAACTACTGCAACTGAAAACTTCTTTGACCAACACTCTGACAGGATAAGCAACTGCTCAAACACTGAGAAAACAGTTTGACATTATTCAAACACATTGACACATCACACAAGTACAAAGCACATTTGAAGTATAGAAGTGTTAAGTTAATGAACTAGGTGAGTTTGCAGGGCTGATTCGAAGTCTTTATAAAGCTATTCTGTACTCGCTGTCAAAGTACTAATAATTAAGGCACTGCAATCTCACATCCATCCATTGTCATCTGATGCAATCTCACATCTCTACAATATATCTGCTTCATATTTATCAACTTGGAAATTTCCTTTTGCAACATAAAAGTTCATATCAACTAGGTGAAGTGTTACTGCAAATGTGACACACCCACTGTGTAAGAGGTTTCAAGAAGGAAGTGGCAACAGGTCCATTTCCTTCTTTCTGTCTTGGTCAAAGAATATAATATGGGGATGATGGATACTTGGCCTACATTCATTGGCGCCGACTCATTTTTACAGGACAATTGCACAGTCAAAGGCATGCATGGAGCGATACAAAATAGATGAGTGGGCTGCTTGATAGATAACAGAGCCAGTTCTACCAAGTCAACAATGACAGCAGGAAATCTCTGTAAACAAGTCAGATTACCAGGGTCATGAGGGAGTGACAACAAATGTGAGCAGTGTCACCTGTTCTCACTTTTACTCTTGCCATTACTAGGGCTTATTTAAAGATGAAACACTAGTGTGGAATCCAAGGTTCCAACATTATTATAGACTGGGTGATAGCGTGAGTATTAAGAAAGCGTAGAATCACTTGTCAGATTAGTGTTGATGTTGAGGCCAGAGATAATCCTCAAAGACACTGTAAAAATGTAAAACATTTAGCACCCGACTCTTTTTAAGAGAATAAGAAGATTCTCTTTAAACAAGCCACTGATCGGCTTCACTGCTTGTACCCAGGCAAGTGGGATAAACTCAAATTAACCAGGAAGTGAAGAAGATGAGGCTTGTGTTGTGACTTCAGAGCGAAGCTATGGGTGTGTTACAACATGGGAACCCAGAAAACAGCCATGCCTTGGTGCCTCGCCCTTTGAACATGTTCAAATGGGTGAGGTCAAGCGGGTGTAAGTGAATTAGTAGGCCACTGCTTTTGCTTACATGTGTGCAGACCTTCCCAACAAACCAGGAAGTAAAATCAGCTCTTGGAAGTAGGCTTCCTTAATGAGGAAAAAAATAACCCGGAAAGATTTTAAGTATCTGCCCAACCCAACAATGACTTTAATTTGTTTTTGTGCTTGTGGGGGGTTATTAGAGGCAGAGTCAGTATAATTATTGACAGTTACCAGGGTTTCGGCTTCATACAAAAACAAAAGAAAAATAGTGCCAAAGATCCGACAATTTTTTTTAAATGAAACCAGTTGATTTATTTTTGGTTATAGATCATTTTATTAATTTAATAATTAACATAATTTTATATAAATTTTGATCATTTAATTTAATAAACAGCCAAAATAGGTGTAATCACTTCAAAAGACCAACTTTGAGCCGATAAAAAACTCTGATAACAACTGGGTAATCTGAGTGTTCCTCATTAAATCCTTAAGAGTGGTAAAGGTCAATCATTTGAAAATAAGTAATCATACAAATCAATTTTATTTCTCTCAGAATGACATATATATATGTAAATATAGCTAATTATTAAATTAAATTCCAGGCCTTTTTTTGAGAACCAACTATGACATCACTGTTGAGGATGTATCCATTTCGGATTCTTTTTACATTTGCACATAGATACACCTTACCAGAGCTACCTTAATTTTCATGGCACACATTCATCCAGGTGCTTACGACTGGCCTCCTATCAGCTCGAAGCAATCAGGTTGTTCTCCTCTATGGTACTTTGAACCAGAGAATGGTTACTCACACTCACCTTCCTTTTTTACGACAGTGCTGAGATTATTGTAAACAATGGAGAATATGCTATGCTAAACAAACTATGTAATGACATCATTTCCCATCATTCCCGCACACACACACACACACACACACACAGATAGATAGATAGATAGATAGATAGATAGATAGATAGATAGATAGATAGATAGATAGATAGATAGATAGATAGATAGATAGATTTTCTTATTGCCACATATCAAATAACCATTTAAATTTAATAACTACTTTCAATCAATCTATCTATGCTACTTAGCCAAGCTGCAAAAAGGGCAAGAGCCAGGGTACACCTTGGACAGGTTGCCATTATGTCACTGTACTAAAATAGAGATACAGACAACCATTTTTATTCACATTCACACCTTTTGGCAGTTTAGAATCACCAATTGAACTAACATCACTACCAGGTTTTTGGACTGTCGGAAGAAGCCAGAGTACCCAAAGAGAACCCATGAGGAGAAGACGGTCACTAGATGGTGGATACAAACTCAGAACCTTCTTCTATGAGGCGACAGTGCTTACCACCATGTTGTGTGGCATTAGTGTGGCACATTGGTGGATGTTTATTTTAAACATTGCACGTATATTCAAGTAATCTCTATGTGCCAATAAAAAGCTTTAAATGCCTGATTTCTGACAGTTTTTCTACCCTTAAAACTGTATCATGTCAACAAGAAGGGATCTTTTTAAAATATTCATCTCAGATGCAAGAGATGAGAGATATATCTTAATTTTTTAAATAACTCAAGCAGGTAGCAGACCCACCCACCTGCTTTTAGACTTTCTGTTTGCTTTTAGACTTCTTCTACAAGTTCTTCTACAAAAAACTTGTAGAAGAAGGGAAAACAGCTTCTTTTCTGGCAACGCAGGAACCAAAGAGCTACACTGAGGCCAAGTATGAAATAAATAATGATTACTTTGAACTCTGAATCATGCAAAGTTACTCTTTGACTATTTTATGACTTGATCTATTTAAACTACATACACTTGAAGACTTTTTTAACCAAGCCCAAACACCAGGAACATTTGGTTTAAAATTCTCTTGGTGGGGGTTATACACTGCACAAAGCACAAAACAGCCTGAAATCATGGTAAAAGAAGGTCAGCGAGCTGGGTGGTGGAAATGAGGGGCCTAGTATAAGATAAGGGTTAGTTGAAATCATGCAAAGCTACTTTAGTAGAATTAACATATAAAGAATAATAGGGCTCCTTAAATAATACAATCCTAAATACTATTATCTAATGAGCACAACATTTAATGCTAGTATGAGAGCTTTCGGAGTGGTGATATAAGCGTACTTGCATAAGTCACAAGCATTTCTTCTTTACCTCCTAAACTTTAGCTTCTTTTGAACAGTATCATTTTACACGTCTATGTTGGTCTTCGTCGTTTTAAAGCTAGCAGAAACGTGAGAAGCTCTAGCTTTTGGCCCCACAGGCTCTAAGTGAAGATGTCATGGCTACCAAGCAACATGTTAATAAACCCACCCAGCAGCCATTTAACAACTTCTTTCAATGTAAAACAACCCCGATACGTACAAAGCCACGCCGGGCTCCATTCATAGTACAGCTGATAACGGGTTTACATAAAGGAGTCCTCTTACCTTCAGCACTTGAAGCTCAGCGTGAAGAAGATGAAAAGGAATGTTCTGAACACATAATAATCCTCCTGTTGGTGAACTCGCAGTATTTGGATGTTCAAAAAGAGTGAAAAGTTGCGCAGCGATCAGGTTTTCAAACCAAAAGTGTTCTCTTCAAGGAACAAGACTGACTTTCTCAGAGTTGTTAGTGTTTCCCAGGACAACTCAATGGGGAGGAGTCAGCACGAGGACTATTAAAAGCTCAGTGGTTTGTTTTTCATGGAGCAGACTTTCAGACAAGAGGAAGTCAGTGTAAACTCGTGAGGGGGGTTTGAGTAACTTTAGTGATTTCCCAAAAATTACTTCGAGAGGGAACTAATATTGTGAAACGGTCACTGTCCGGGTTTGTGAAAAAGTATCGTGGTCGGTCCCCAGAGTCGAAATGAAAAAACGGAGGAAGCTGGAAAGATCAGATTAACATCCCGTCTGTGCTTTTCACAATAAAGGAACACGAACCCTGCACGCTACTAGGACCAAGGCGTCATGGACCGCATACCACCGAACTAATAACTAGATCACTGAATGAAAACACATTCAAAGTTACTTCGGAAAACTTGAAAATGAAAACTACGTGAAAGTCTGTGTCATAAATAAGAAAGGAATATATGAGAAGGACTTTTCATTTTTATTTTGAGAATAAAGTTGAAATTGTGATAGCTATGAAAATAAAACATATGGGTGGAGCTGAAATATTGCTTTGAGAATAAAGTCAAAATCTCGGAATAAATGTGAAAAGTTACATCCAGAAGAAACAGTAGGTTTTTTTTCTTTCAAAATTAAAGCTGAAATCACAAGACTAAAACTCAAATATTAAGATAATCAAGGAAATGTTACCGGTATTAAGTCAAATTAGGGCAGCTCCTCAGAAAAATGCCTTGTGCTTAAAAATCATTTAATCACACTACAGAGTGACAACTTTGGGAGCTAATCTTATCCTTTAAACTTACTTTATTCTTTACATACATTTTCAAATTCACTTTCAAAACTTTGACTTTACGCTCACAATGCAAATAAAAAAAATACTTCTAACATTTTTTTCTTAATTGTGGCCTTAACAAAACTTTGAATAGATCCCCAAAAAAAGTACTTTAAACTATCAAGACATTTACATTACTGTCTAGTAACAGAACAACAGGAATAGTAATGCGTTTAGTAACAGTAATGCAGGCAAATGATTTGAAGGATGACTGCATCCAGTGGTTTCCAGTGTGTTTGACACCGCCTGCTCTGGGAGACATCGTCTTAAATACAAACACACAAACAATAATGGTTTGGCATCACTTTGCCATGTATCTGCATGGATTTATAAACTTAGAAGCTAAAATTTGTTCATATGGCCCAATGCAATAGTCTGTATTGCATTTTTCTAATGGAATGGTTGGGAGTACTACATTTATTGGTTCTATGATGGGTCAGATTATTTGGGAATGATGGCACTTACATGGCAATTATTTTGACTTGCAACATAATTGTCTTTTTATTTTTATTTTTCAGTACAACTGTCATGCATTTCCCAACACTCAACACTGACAGCAGATCATAATCAGAATTTTTTTTTTAAAATAGCGCTTGAAACTGCACATCCACAACATACACACACAAAGCACTTTGCTCTGTGTAACACCAGGGAAACACTTATTCAAAGTCTCCATTTTCGATTTTCATTAAGTAAAAAGAAATAAAATAACTTTATAGTTCACAAATTGTCATTAGTAGAAACTAGAAGAATTTTATACAGTAAAATTCATCAGCATATTGAAAATTTAACTACCCAAAACATAATCACACAAATCCAGATGATTTAACTATAAATGTAATCTTGTAGTTACTAATTTATTTGTAGTCAAATACGCTGAAACCATAGCAAACCCCATCTTCCACCATATAAACTTTTATTTTGAAGGGAGCGCCTCAAGCCACTAACCTTAACCACTAACTGCTGCTCAGCTGACATACAGTGATCCTACACTGCTTTCTGTAATAAGGCTAAAGAAGAAATTAAGTGAAGGTTGCTGCACATTTTGCTTAATTTAAGTTGTAGCTTCTCTGAACTACAGTGACCTTTATATGCTGGGCGGACTCTACTTTTCTATTATTACTTTGCTGAAGTCACAGAACTGCTCTGCACAGGGCTGCTATAAATCACGTCTTGTAGCAACATTAGTTGTTAGTAACGCTACACAGAGATTAAAATGCATTACACAAAGACACTGAATTCATTTGATCCATACTGGTTGCATGCCATACAGTACGGTAAAGGTCACTGATTCCAAACACATTAAGCTTCCTTTCTTGCTTTCCCCTTTTTCAGTTTGGTAATGTATCAAAAAGTGATCTATGATTTAGACTATCTATGATCTATGATTTGGACTCAGTGATGAGAGGTGAAAAGTACAATCTCCTGACATTACATTGTGAATCACAGGCGCTTTCATTTTTCAGCAGTGCAAACATTAGGTAGATGCTTATAATGTAGAACAGCGAGTTTCAGTGTTGTCTCATCATGACTGCAAATCCCTTCCAGGCAGAGGGGCGAAAAAAAACTCCTGTGGTTTCAGCTGCCCTCTGCAGGCACAGGAGGTTTTCTGCAAGGATCTCTGTTCCCAACACATTATATACAATGTACTGGTAAAGGAATGCTGTTTGAAACTTTTATAACACCCCCCTCCAAAATGCTGGAACCGCAAACATAAGTAGTTTCCAAACCCATGAAATACATTAGTCTCTTTCTGTGTTAAATGTCAACAGAAAGAAAGAAAAAAAAAAGAGCACAAAAAACAAGACCTTGTGTGCTCGGTTTACTCAGTCTTGTAAAGAATGCAGTGTTTAGAATAACCTTACCTTTCTTATACATACTGATACAAAGCAGGGCAGCACTGAAAAGGAGCTTTCATTCCCTCTGGCTTAAGCCGGCCAGATTTATAAATAAATAAATGTATGTTGTTTGTGACTTCTATTATTTGCCTTCGGGCATCAACAAAATGAATTAGAGCTTGCAAATACCATCACATATCCTCATTCAAAAAAAGGATAATGCAT